AAAAAAGGGAGGGAGACCAAAGTTGTTGAGCAAAAAAAAAAAGGACTCCAAGGACTTAAGCCAAAGATCCCCAGGGAAAAGCATTGGTTCCCCTAGGTCTTTTGGCCAGCAGCCATTTTGTGCCAGCAGCCTTGGGGAACCAGGTAAGCATGGGGTCTGGGGGTGTTGGGAGCCAGGGGGAGACAAGGGAGGTGGGAGGCCGGGCGCTGATTGTTTGTAGGGTTGCCAGGTGCCCGGCATTTTTGCCTCCTGGCCAGGGAAAAATTCAGAAAATACCAGAGATTTTAGGTGTTCTGTATTCTCTGAATTTTTTTACTGGACAGGAGGCAAAAATACCGGACTGTTCAGGTGACACCTGGCAACCCTAGCTGGGTCTACACCCCAAAGGAAAACAGGTGACACTGCACTGATTTAGCCAAGCCAGTGTAGTGTCGTGTGCAGACAATCTAGAGCAGTTAAACCTAGTTTGGCTTGCTAAACCAGTGAAATTTGTGTGTGTACAGACAAGCCATGCAACAGTGTAGGGTAGACTTTAACAAAGAGAGCTTTCCTCCCAAGTGTTTTAGTTTTACCAGTTTTTACTGTATTATCAGTCTGAATAATCAGTCTGTATTGAAGACACATCGCAATTCATCCTCTGTACACTCCCTCTGCCTGGTGAGCCTTGCCTTTTCTCCATTGAAACAGAGAAGGCCCGACCCAGCGTTGCCCTGAGTTCTCCATCACAGAGAAGTTGAAATGAGAGGTCAAACCCACGTGCCTTCCCTTTCGCAGATTTCCTTTAAGAATTCCAGAGAGGATTATCAGCTGCTCTAAGCTACTGTGGCCGGAGTAATCATCTTCCCCCCGCACATCCCCGGGGCCTCCATCGTGCATCCCCACTGGAGACACCAGAGAAGGCTCTTCTAATCCAGCTTCCTGCTTTTTCCAGGCAAGACAGCTAACATGATGGTCGCACTTTGCCTTCCACAGCAACTTCCATCAGTGCTGTCACCCCTTTTACCCCAGAGGTACAGAGGCCACAGGAGGTCAGGGGCAGCAGCAGCAATAGAGAACACTCTGCCCTGTGTTTAGCGCCTATGCCATATTCCCTCTTGGGCAGGGGCCTTCACTGACTAGGACATTGCTGCGCCTCACAGCACAGGCCAGTCTGCGCCTGATGTTCTCACTCATAACGCGCCTGAGTTCATGAGCTCCCTGCAGAACATAAGAACAAGCTGCTGCACTATTACTGCCAGAACTTGGCAGCTCTTCCCTCAGTGTCTGCAGTGAGTAAGGGAGGGGGCGGCCTCAGGGGGCTCCCAACCCAAGATAGACAGGCCCAATGACCTGGGTGGAGCCAGCCAGTGCTCTGGAGAGCAATGATCAGCCTATTGCACAATTTGCCTCTCTCCCTCACCCACTCCAAGGTCCTTCTTTGAAGCAGAAAGGAGAAAGCTGGAAACATCCTTCCTCTCCTACACACAATAAAGGGGAAGCAGCAAAGGAGTGGGGGAAGGCGGCTTTGATCCATGCAGAGAATAACAGGGACTGCTCCTGACCCAGGTCCAGTCCTTCCTGCTAGTGCCCCAGCTCTGCAATGAAAGCTGGTGGAATAGCTGCAATTCCTGTCCTGGGAGCCGGACTGCAAAGCCCAGGGAAAAAGGCCAGCCATGAAGTTACAGACAAGCCCGCCTCAATAGCTTCCGGGCACCCCTGAGAACTGTCTGTCCGGGGTGGGGGTCGGGTCCCTTTAAGCGCAGCCCTCGGCTAGCCTGAGACAGCATCTCCACGCTCTAAGTCCTCCTCTGATGCCCTGCCAGCACTGCTTCCGGCCATCCTTAAGCCCTGTTCAGAGTCCACTCAATGTGGACTTGCTAGTTCAAATTAGCAAAACGCTAATTCGAACTAGTTTTTAGTTCTAGACGCGTTAGTTCGAATTAGCTTAGTTCGAATTAACTAATTCGAACTAAGTTCGTTCGAATTCGCACTGTAGTGTAGACATACCCTGAGTGTTTGTAGGGTTGCCAGGTCCCAGAAGGGAAAGCCCTGAACGTTAGCGCTCTCTGTAGGAGCGCGGGAAAGACTGGAGCAGAAAGGGCAGAAGGCCTTTTATTGGCATCGTGCTAGGGACTATTGACTGAAGAGGAGTTGGGGCAGGGTCTTGGGGAAAGATTACAGGAGAGCAGGGCCTCAGGCTAAATAGGGGGGCTGAGGGCAGGGCCTCAGGGGAAGACGAGGCACATGGGGTAGTCTCAGTTGCTGAACCCTCCCCCCCCAATTCTGAGACAGGTTCCAGAGCTCCTGCCCAGACCCTGATGCGCTAGGGGCTGCACACACTGTACACACCCAGAACAAAGTTGCTCCCTGCCTCAAGAGCCAACAATCCACATATAAGTCGAGACAGGCAGAAGGGAAGCAGATGACATGGGTCCAGGTGGGGGGCAGGTATGTTGCTTGAAGGCACCCCAGCAGATTGGAGCATCGAGGCAGGGGTGGGCATTGGATGAGGTGGCTTTGTGGGTGTTGACAGGAAGCTTTGCCCATCAAGGGAGAATGCACCATTCAAAAACATCCCGAGTACACAAGGGAGGTGGCTGTCACCAGCCATGCCAGCTGACACAAGCATGAATAAGGGGGAAATCAGGTGGGTGGGGGAGGGGGATCAGCCGGGCCTTGGAAGTAAAACCAAGCAGCTGCTGTTTGGTGCCTGGAGAAGGCAGGGTCAGTGGTGAGCCACAGAGCAAGCGATGGCCTGGTGAAAGCAGCAGGATGGAGGGGCAGACAATGCAGGTTCATAGGCGGAGGCCAGAAAGGATGTTGGTGAAAAGCAGGGAGGGGTATGCCCCAGTGGCTGCGGTGGGATGGGGGAGAGCAGAGCTCAGTGAGTGCAGATTAGAGGGCTGTTAGCATAATGGGCAGGGGGCTCAGCAAACCATCTCCTTTGTCTCCCCCAGCTATTTGTCTAGCACAGCAGCAGGGAACCAAAGCTCTGGGGGCCAGATGCGGCCCCTGGCTTGTCTGGGCCCCAAGGTTCCCTCCTCAGCACGGGGGAGCCCATACTGGCACTTCAGCCCCCCACTGTCCTCCCGTGGACCTGGAGCACAGAAAATCTACTAGCCTGGCCCCCCCCAGGCTCTGGTGTGTGAGGGGAATGGCTTTCCCCTTCTCAGTCAGGGGCCACATGTCAGTGAGAGTTTGGTTTTTTTGCTTCTCACCTCGGCTTTCCCCTTCTCAGTCAGGGGCCACATGTCAGTGAGTTTGGTTGGTTTTTTTGCTTCTCACCTGTGTGGGCCCCCCCAACTGAGTTTTCTGTGGGTCAGCAGCCCCTGACCCAAAAAAGGTCCTGTCCCCGTTCCCCTCCCCTGTCCCCGGCTCTAGCACATCCTGTCATCTCACTTGGAGTGGAAGTTGGTTGAGGCAGTGGTTGTCAGTTTGTGCTGGGCGCTGCTCAAACAAACCAATCAGCTTCTGAGACATATTAGGAGCTCCTAACACTACAGCTAAATAATGAGATGCAGGAGGGGCCTATGACCCCATGAAACTCTCTCTGGGAGGGTTCAACAGCCTCCAGGCAGTACAGGCCCGCAAGTTCCAGGGTACTGGTGGTGCAGGTGCACCAGCATGGATTAGCTGCCCCCTCTAGTGGCAGGAATCAGGCTGTTGCAGTTACTGCTGTGCAGATGCATCTGGGCCCCTGGCCCAGCATTTTCAGACCCCAGAAGTTAACGGGGTCCTGAAGAACTGGGAGTTGAGGCTCAGCAGGGCTGTTGGATTTTAGGTGGTTAATAGTCTTGGGTTATAGGCTCACCAAGCAAACTGAATATTGCTTGTTATGGGAGGGTGGGTCTGTCCTGCAGCAGCTGGGAGGGATGAAACATTTAAGTTAAACCAAGATGGAAATGCAGAAGAGCACCAGCATGCTTCTCTAGCACCATGGTCTATGCACACCCGCACCCCATGTGTGGAGCAAAGATGTAAACCCACAAACAACAAGGAGTCCTGGGGCACCATGAAGGCTAATTGGAATTGGAAGGAACAAGGTCAGAGGTCATCAAGTCCAACCCCCTGCCCTCACCACAGGACCAAGCACCCACTAAAACATCCCTGAGAGAGGTTTGTCTAACTTGCTCAGCCTCCAGTGGTAGAGATTCCTCAACCTCCCTGGGCAACTTATTTTAGTACTGAACCACCCTGACAGGAAGTTTTCCTAATGTCCATCCTAAATCTCCCTTGCTGCAATTTAAGGCCATTGCTTCTTGGCCTATCCTCAGAGGCCAAGGAGAACAATTTGCCTCCCTCCTCCTTGTAACACCCCTGCACCCTCTCCTTCCCTTCCCCTGCCAACCCAAAAGGTTGAGGCAAGAGACTAGTGGCAGGACCAGAAGTGGCAACAGCCAGAACTGATGGCAGAGTAGATCTGGATGGGGGTTCCCTCTGCACAGCCTATGTGGGCTGGCCCAGGTCCCTCTACAGCCCTCTCAGGGGGGCACACACTGGTTTGGGAACCAATGCAATAGCAGTAGATTTCAAACTCTCCCCCCCACCCATTTAAAGGTTGATGTGTCCAACTCAACGTATCTAGAGTGTGGGCTCGGAGGCGGAGATGCGGTGAGTTGTTTATAGGGTACAGGAGGGGACAGGGCTGAGCTGGGGATTAGGGCATGGGCTTATCTCCTGTGGATCCCAGCCAAAGGAAGTGTGGAGCCAGTGCTTGGGTCGGGGGTAGTGCAGAGCCCTACGTGCCAAACCCACCCCGCCAGGAGTCAGATCTGCTGCTGGCCATTTCTGGTGTGCAGCACATGTAGGAAACCTATCTTAGCACACCTGCTGGTTACTACAGCAAGGCGACCCAGTGCCTGACCTATACTTTGAAAACCACCGCACTAGGTGGTGGTGTTTGTCTGGGCACACCCACAATACTAGCGTTGTGTTTCCTGTACAGCTCTTGGGGACAGGGGCCACCCCCTTTCAGCATGGAGCACTCAAGATCCAGGAAGGAAGAGGCATCAGGCAGAGCAGTACATAAAACCCAGATTTATTCCGTTCTCAGAGAAACAAGTTTCCATCGCACAGGTTGCAAACAGTTATTGGGGACATGAAAGAAGCCAACTAAAATATACAAGCGAAGCCCAGCCTGGGATTTCGTTGCATGATGGAGACACAAGGAACCGAGCCAGAAAGCAGCTGCCCTGCCAGGACAGGCACAGAAATTGGAATGGCCCTGTCTTGGGCGTCAGTTACAAAACCACTGAACTGTAGCTTCCCCTGGCATGGATGGGGGAGGGAGTACACTGGCATTGCAAGCGGGGGAGGAGGGGACGCAGCTAGAGACCGACAGTGGCTTGGAATAGCTTGTGCCCGGGATATTGTGATGGGCAGTAAGGGAGCAAACCCAGAGAAGTATCCCAGCAGGACAAGCTGTTGGGCAACTCCCCTGCCAGCCTCCTTTTCTCCTCACTGAGCCACCTGCCCCCACAGGGCCCAGAGAACACATGGAAGCAGAGCACAACACCTCTGTCCAGGATCCCACAACTTAGGCAGGTGAGTCCAGGCACTGGGCTAGGTCCCCAGTGTGGGCAGGGATGAGGGAGTGATGCTTACCTCTCCCCTACACCCAGCCGTGTCCCCCACTGCCCTGGCCCTGCCTGCAGTCAGCTCCCCCCACACCCTGCATGAAATCCCAGAGAATGGGGGAGCCCTGGAGCCAAAGCAGAAGGCAGCACTGGAGGGGGAGGTGAGTGATACCCTCAATGCAAACCGTGAGAGAGACTTCATGGCAAAGAGGAACGGGCATGGAGAGGAAAGACTCCCCATCTACAAAACAATTTAACTGGAGTGGGGGATAGGATGGCCCCCTGCCGCCATGCGACCTGGGGCAAGGGGCAAGTCCCAGTCGCTTTTGGTCACTGCCCACGCAATGCCAGGCAGCTGCTCTGGTCTATGCTGGCCAGCCCCTCACTCCTCCTCTCCAGCGCCAGCAGAGACAGTGGCAGCAGCCCCCAGGGAGCCAGATGGGGAGCTGCGGTGGGTGAAGCTGCTGCTGCTCTCGCTCCGCTGCTCATCTAGTGGGATGGGCTCCACCAACACAGAGGAGAACTTCCGGTCGCCAAAGGCGGCGCTCCACTTGGCCTCGAAGAAGCGCTGCAGCCCGATGATGGACTGGACATCCTCCTTGTCCTGGGGGAAGGGAGACTAGGGGTCAGGAGATGAAAGCAGAGAAATCTCCCCCCATCACCCACTGGCCCAAGACCTGCTCTCAGAGTCTCTCCACCCTACCCACGTGCTCCAGAACCAGCAACCTGCAATTGCAAACTGAAGGAGAGCAGAACAATTCACACACTAATAGCCCCAGCAACTCTGGCCACCTGGTCACACAGATATGCGTATGGTTGGCGTTAAGCATTTCTATGCTGGAAACTGTGCACTCAGGGTTGGGGGAGAAGGCAGGTCACCAGACAGGGATGAACATGCCTCAGGTAGGAGAATAGTAATAGAAATGTGGCTGTTAGTCTTGTCTTTTGTTTCAGCTAGACCAGACTATGTAGGACTTTAAAGACTAACAAGATGGTTTATTAGGTGATGAACTTTCTGGCCACAAAAGCTCATCATCTAATAAGTCATCTTGTTAGTCTTTAAAGTGCTACCTAGTCCTGTATTTTGTTTCAGGTAGGAGAGATGCTGCTTTTCTCCCACCCCTGGCTAGTCACATGCCTATCATCTGCCTCACAGTGGAGGCCCAGCTACCACTTGGGCCAAATGCCATTTGAGAGATGGGGAAAGTCACAGGAACAAACAAAACAGCAGGAAGGGAGGCTGTTTGGGGGAAGGAAACTTGAAGGGGGCCCGTGTCTCATGAACAGAACACAGCCCAGCCAGGCTGTTAACACAAGGACTCTGGAGGTGACACCTCGCGCGTAAGACAGAAGAGTAATGAGCACAGTTCAGGGTCTCAAAGGGACACCAGGAAACAATTCCCAACACCTCCATTTGCTGTCATTTGAATCCCTTCTGTTGCACTTGTTTTCAGGATAATTGTAGCCTTATGCTGAGCAACAAACCAAAGGGTGATCTGGGGTGGGTACTGTGGGTGTCCAGGGGGATACTCGGGGCTGGAGCATGCCTATCCCACATTAGTCGAGAGAGGGGGGTTAGGTGGTCCATGGAGCTGGGGGCCCATGCTCACCCTGAGAGGTAGCGAGGAGTCTCCTGCCAGGTGCACTGTAATCAGCACACATGCCCCAGCCCTGCCGGAGAAGGAAAGAGGGGCCCAGGTCACCTCTCACCTCTGTCAGCTTGTTGAACTGCTTGATCATCCTCCAGACATCCTGAGCAAACTCATTGGAGGAGCCGTAGGGCGGGGAGAGCTTCTCTTGCAGTTTGGCTCGGATCAGGGTCAGGTCAATAGTGTTCTGGCCCTCCTGGGGAAGATATCAGGGGTCAAGCCTGGCCCCACCCACCAGAGCTCCCTGCCCTCCCTGAGCCCCAGTCCCCCCCCAACCCACCATATCAGAAACCCTCTTTCCAGAATAGGGCCCAGCACTTGAGCACTGGTTAGACATCCCTCCCCCCACATCCCTTGGGCTCCCCACAACCCTTGTATCAAGGGAAGCGTCCCCATCCACAATGCCCCTGCCCCCGCGGAGTGCAGCTCCCTGCCACTCCCAGACTCACTGTGGCGTTTGACAGCCGGTGGAGAGGCCGGCACGGCTCATGACAAAGCAGCTCCAGCAGGACACGCTCACACTTCTGTCAAGCCAAAGGAGACACAGCAGGGTCAAGAGCAGGGAGACGGGATCCTGACACCAACCCTCCCACTGGGGTCAGACCAGACGCTCCCATCCCGTACCCCAACCCCACAGAATAATGCAGGTGGCAAGGCCAGGCTGTGGGGCACCAGGCCAGGCCCAGTCTCAAGGCTGGCCAGGTTCTTGGCTCAGCCCACAGAGCAGAGAATAAGCGCCTTGCCCATGTTCCCCTGCATGGCGCCCAGAGGCAGGGAGAGAAAGCTCGCTCTCCCAACAGACCCATGTTGCTTGGCCCCCAACCCACACACTAACCCTTTGCTCCAAGGGGGAGAGTTTTTTGGGACTCGCATCTTCGGACATGGAGAAATGGGTGCCATCCTCATCACCGGCCTCTGGCAGTTCCTGGCACAGCAGGCACTTCCACTCCTGACTGGGGGAGCAAACAAGGAGTGAGCATTGCCCCCACACACTGCCAGACAGTGCGAGCAGGGAACATCTGTTTCTGCAGTGTATCAGTAAAAGAGCTGGGGAAAGAACGCTGGAGTCCTGGCTCCTAAACCCCCTTCCTCTAACCACTAGAGCCCACTCTCTCCCTGCACACTCAGTCAGGGATAGAACCCCACCATCCTGGATCACAGCCTCCACCTTGTATTCTACCCCAAGCTATTCAAGGACCAGCCACCTCCCAGGGACAACCACTGAGCTGCCCCTTGGCTACCAAACAAGCCCAGCTGAAAGGCTAGAACTCATGCTGCCCCTCAGCTGGGCTTTAGTGCCCTGAGCTGTGGTCCAGAAATCAAGGCATGAAGCAATCACAGGGTGGGCAAGTGCAGAACTCGGGGGGGCTGGGGAAGGGGATGAGTACCTGGGGATCTCCTGCAGCACAGGGAGGTGGCAGTCCAGGTGGTAGCACTGCTCACACTGGTTACACATCACAACAGAGCCGGCCTTCCGGCACACTCTGCAGTGGGCAGCGTTCGCTGCCCCCGTGCCTCCCTCCGGGTTCTGGCTGGCTGTCACGTCCAGACCCGAGCCGCCGCTGCCACTGGGGGAGATGAGGCGGGACATGGATCCCTCGGCAGCTAGGGCGTCCTGAGGCAGAACAATGGGCTTGGTGTCTCTGGGCTCCTCAGTTGGATATTCGATGGCCGCCTCCATCTGCTCCTCCTGGGGGTGGGAGGAGAGAATACGACAGCACAAGATCAGCACTGGTGGGACACGGACACATCAGGGCTGGCTTCCCCAGGGCCCAGGTGCCAACCACCAACAGGACACCGCCACACTAGCCCCTAGAGCAGACCGGGCGGGTACCCCAAAGCAGCACTGACCTTGACGATGGCTCCGGGCTGGGTAGCACCAGGAGGCTGAGTGGCAGCCTGCTGGGCCCCACGCTCAATGACAATCAGGTTGTAGTCCTCATTACTGTTGCCAGGGAAGACCTGTTAGGTCCAGGTCCAGCCGCTCCAAGCTCACCCTAGGCACCTTGCGCATGACGTTGCCGTCAGAGGACCTGGGCCTGCAACGCAGCACAGTGGGGGCTCATGGCATGACCACCACCTGGGGTGGGAGGCCCCAGCAACAGGGGATGCCCGGGAGCAAAAGAGGAAAGATGCCTGCAGCAGGCTGGCAGATATATACAGTCATTTCCCCCACCACAGCAAGGGCTCAGTTGACTTACCTCTTCATTCCTGAAACATGGGCCTCAGTGCTGTCGGCTGAGGAGAGAGAAGCCAGGCACAAGTCAGGTGGCCTTGTCTGCATGCAGCCTGGTGTCCCTGCCTATCTCCCTGGGGTGACAGGTGCTCCAGTCACACTACCACAAGGAATCCCAAAGGAACCGGAAGAGGCAGTCCATTTCTGGCCCTGGCATGGGTGGGAAAAGCAGCCCTCCAGGAGCCTACCACCTGCCTGAACATGCAGGAAATGGTGACTAATGCATCTCCCCAATTAATTTCAGTGGGGCACCAATGGGCAACATTGAAGAGACTTTAACAGCATCCCCATGGGAGCTGAAAGAACAATGGGATAGGTGGCTGTCCCCAACAAGTGGAGAGGGAGGATAAGACCAGAGGAGCTACTCCCCTATGGTACCAGGCCACACCCTCTGACAAAGCCCCCAGCCTCTCATTCTGGGGCCAACTAGGAGGCATGGGCAGGGTGATACTTCTGTCCTGCCCAGAAATACAGCCACCCCTCCCCACTGGCTCCCCACCACCTCTTACCAAGGTCTCCAAAGCCTTCCTCCTGGGTGTCCATGGGCTGCAAAGTAATGAAAAGGGGAACACATCAAGGAGAACTCAGATCCTGCCACACAAATCCCAGCCCCTCCCCATTCCCAGATGCCACCACATCTCTACCCTATCACTCAATGCCAAATGACAAGAGGGTGCCAGGGGGTGGTGTGATTCTGGCACATATATTAAAGGTCTCAAATGGAAACTGGTGTCAGCATTGGTGTTCACTATCACACAGTGAATGGATGCACAATAGTATGAATATCTGCTGAAAATATTGCTAAAGCTTGTAGCAAGCTATTAATCAGCAGTCAAAAGGTGAACAGGTTGTCTCAGGCAAATCGCGTATCTAGCTGTCTGTTTAAAATGTAAATTAAGTATTGTGCATTTCACAACAGGTCACCGTCCACCAATCTGGACTGACAACAAATGAAGGCTTGTGAGAATTTGTAAGAAAACATACAGGAAGGAAGGAAGCAACAGCTTGGGGAAACCCCATCTGCAGATATTCAGACGTGTATTATCTGGGAGGCACAGAGAACACCTCCCCAAAAGGCAGTATTTGTCAGCAGAAGCAGCCCATCCACATCATGCTGCCTACATGAAGAAGTTAGGTCAGCTTCACACCCCGGAGCAATACAGTTATTTATATAGGTCAGGTCTGCACTACAGCTGTATATCTAAGTGGCAGTGGTGTTAAGCCAAGGACTGGCCCTGCGTTACATCCTATAAGCTGGAAGATACCAGCAGGTCTGGTGATTCGGTGAGTGTTCAGTGGACAAGGGGCTGGATATGCTCTGCCTCTGAGAGTTGGTATGAGCCCACAGATTTGTCTGGACAGCAGGAGGTTGCTAGAGGCTAGTGGTTTCAGGGGAAACGGGAAATGGACAGCTGATGGAGCATTTGACTACCTGTTTTGTTCATTCCCTCTGAGGCACCTGGCATTGGCCACTGCTGGAAGACAGAATACTGGGCTAGATGGACCTTTGGTTTTACCCAGGGTGACTGTTCTTATGGATACTCTATAGCAGTTTCTCAGCTATTTATTGTGACCTGTATGGCCCTGAGGATGTCACATGGGTTGCAGCTCTGTGCTATTTGGGTTGCAAGTGGCCCATTGTCCTCCAGTTGAGAACACTGATCTGTAACAAGCGCAGTCAACTCCTCACACTCAGCAACTAGTAGCACAGGGCCTCACACCTAGATAGCATCAAACAACTTCTGCAGCAGAGCCACAGGAGGGACAAGTTGTGACGGCGCGTTGGGGGTCCCCCGTCTCCTGCACCCCGAAATGGCACAAACAGACTGCACCAGCCGGTGGAATAGAGGAAGTTTATTGCCTCTCCAGGATACAGCACAGCACAGATGGAATCTGGTCACAGAGCTGGGCTAGGATGCCTCAGGCCTCCTTGAGTTGGGGGGAGACTGGGCCCCTAAACTCCAGCCCCTCTCCCTAGGCTGTATCCTCCATGCTCACAGACAGCCACTCACTAACCCTCTTCCAGCCCTGCCCCCCAGCCAGGGCAGCATTCCACCTTCCTTTATTCCTCTCCATGGGGGGTGTCTGGCCCTACTGGTTTGCATAGTGACTCATCCTGTTTTGCTGGGTCATGGTACCCATGGCAGCCAGTGGAGGTTACCCCAGAGCCAGCAGCATAGAAACTAGCCAGGTACCCCCACTACGTCACACAAGTTATAGGTATTTACTCCTTAGCTTCCCAGAGAGTCATGTCAGGTTTCTACTGGATGCCTCTCTCAGGCTGCTTTGTCTTGTAACATGCATCGATTTGTTGTGGAGCCAAGCTGGAGTCCCAGGATATCAGACAAGGTAAAATGAGGTTAGATCCTTGACTCGACACATTTTGTTGGATAGAGACAAGCTTGTGAGAAGCCTTGTTTACTGGATCCACAAGCTGGTCAAATCAAAGATGAGACCTCACTCAGTTTGTCTTCTCGCCCTGAGATGTATGATGCGATACTGAAAATATTCTTGAATCTGAGTGGGGGGGCAATTACTAGAAAATGATCAACAAGCTTCCTTCAGACCACAAGTGTTCTTCTCCATCTGCCTACATGTAAAAATAACTTTTGTACAGTTTACAACGAATACTTATCATCTGAGCAAAATGTTAACTGGTAGCAAACTTTGGGTAAGATTTTAGACGGGAAAACACAAGCAGGTAGGATTGCCCTGTTTGCAAGATAAGACCATGGATTTTTATCCTGTAAGGCTCACTTTGGATCCTTCACCAAGGAAGTAAACCCACTGCCAACAAAGCTCAGAAAGGGTGTTAAATACTGGGATAATGTGCATTGGGATAACAGTATCTGCTGGCTAGCCTTTGGAGCATTTAAGTGAACTTGCCCCCGCTCACCTGCACAGTAGAGGATTGCAAGAGGTTACCATCACCGATGAAGCAATCCTGGCTGTTGGTAGGCTGAAGCAGGGCTCCTGGGGCCATCTGTCCCTTGCTGACAATGGTGGACTGCATTGCGACTTGCTGCACACCCTGCAGGGAAAGGGAATGTTATTTCCACAGGAAGGGCAGAGCCAGGCGCACGGGCCACCCCACTCCCACTACCACTGGGGAGAGGCTCCCCCTACCACCTGCCAGGTAGCCGCTGGAGTGTGGCACCCACCTGAGTCCCATTGACCTGGGGCAGAAGCACCAGCTGGCCCATGACTTGCTGCTGGCCGTTCATCTGTAGGAGGCCGCGGGGCTGCACCAGCTGGAGCTGCATGGGCTGTACGTAGGTGCTGCCGGCACCACTCTTAACCACAGGGGCCGTGAGGATCCGGGCGGGCTGCACTGGCGGCTGCAGAGGGGGAGGCTGGCTCTGGGAGACAGCTGCCCCAGGCCGGTTCGGGACCATGGGAGGGACATTCGTAAGAGGAGCCAGTACCTGGGGAGTGCCGGAGACCTGTTTCACCCCTCCTCCCGCTGCCGGGCCGGTGGCGTTGGCACGCTGGATCTGCGCGTTGGGGGCCGCGGCCTGCGGGACACCACTCCGCTCTGAGACTATTGTTCCTGGGGAGAGGACGAGCACATTGGGAGGCATTTAAACTGAAGCACATGAACACAGGAACAGGGCACACAAGCCTGAGTTGGATTCACCTCTTGGTTTCTACAGCCCTCTGAACCTATTATGCAGCCTCCCCACCCTCAATGTAATCTGCAATGAACAGGGTGTCTCCAATGCCATTATAAGGAGCTGCTGAGGATCTGCTCCCACGGCTCAAGCAAAGCGCTCTGCGCCCTAGCTTAATGCTCACATCCTGGCACACCACGTCAGGCTGGCCCTAATGCAGAGAGCAGATTTCAGATGGACCCCATAGTCAGAAAGCAGCAGTGGGACTAGAACTATGGGTGGGGGTCTAGAGACCACACACACCCAGAGTCCAGCCACAAAGAGGCATGGGTGAACAGCTTCTCTGATCGACCACCCTACCTCCACCCAGCACCAACTCAGCTGTACCCAACTGGGCAGGAGCCATTTGGTTGGCTGAACTCGAACATGGGGCTAGAAATGCAGCAGCACCTCCCCACACATGCAATTAACCAGCTACTTCTGCACCATCCCCAGCTCTTAACATTATGGGACAGAAGCCTGGCTCAAGACCTGCATACACAGCTTCCCCTGCTGTCCTTTCACAAGTGACTCACCTGCCAACATCTAATCCCTCCCCAGGGACAAGGGACAGAAGAGCCAACACACACTCCTAGGTTCCAGGATCTATGCAATCCCCTTTCCCTCTAACACATACCCCACCACGTCAAAGACAGTTACCTGTTTCCATAACTAGTGTTAGATGTGTTGCTCATGTCCGTTCAATGTAGATGTGTGTTTGCCACGTACACCAGTGCTGGAAGATTTTCCATTAGCAGTACCAATAGGATAGCCAGCTCAGGCATCCCCTGGAGCACACAAATAGGGTACCCCCTCCACCCTCAGTTCCTTCTTGTCTGACAACTCAGACTAGGAAGGGCAGGATGGACGTGAGCAACACATTTAAAAAAATCCGTTACAGAAATGTTCGAGAGATTGCTCATGTCCATTCAATGCTGGTGATTGCAAGCAGTATGTCTGGAGGTGGGAGGTGTTCACTGGTATGCTGACAGCAACACAGCTGTACTGAAGACCACAACTTCTCTGGCTTATTACAGCAGGACTTAGCGTGTGGTAAAGATGTGCACCAACAACCACGTTGTAGCCTTACAAACGTCCAGGATAGGAACACTGGAGAGGAAGGCCACAAAGGAGGTTTGTGCTCTGGTTGAGTGAATCCTGAAGAGCAGGAGTGGCTGAGCACCAGCAAGCTGACAGCATGACCAAATGCAGGAACTTAACTTATGGAACTTAAGCTTTGAACCTTAACTTCATTTACAAGTTTGGGAGCCATCACAAAGGTATGAATAAAGACGTTACCTGGCTAGCACACTGCCTTCCACATCCTAATGACTTAACCAAACAATGGGTACGTAAGAACGATTTGCACCTTCTCTATCAGCTTCTTGCAACAGGAACACTAATTCACTATTTTGCCTTTCTTTCTCCCCCATTCCCTATTTATTTTGAAACTGGACTTTTAATACTCCATCTGAAGTGGGTTGTACCCAGGAAATAACATCTACATTCTTTGTTAGTCTTTAAGGTGCTACTAGACAATTTAAGTTTTTCCAAATGCAGGAAGTCATCCAATTAGAGTTGCTTTGCATGGATACCCGTAGTCCTTTCATCTGCTCAGCATAAGCAACAAAGATGGTTGCTTTCATCTGCTCAGCATAACAGAACAGCTTTGTTCTGTCAATGTAGACCAACAAGGGCCCTGTGACCATCCAGGGCATACAGTCACCTCTCCTCAGGGACTGCATGAGGCTCCAGGGAGAAAGCCAGGAGGCAGATGTATCCTGACCCATGTGAAACAGAGATCACCTTGGGTAGGAAGGCAGGGTGTGTGGTTGCAGTTGTACTGTATTCTTACAGAAGATCATGCATGGGGCTCTGTAGTTAAGGCACACAATTCAGAAATGCCCCTATCCAATGTAATAGTTGTAAGGTGGGTGCTAGGACAGGTGCTAAAGGGACCATGTGGTCACTGGTTCAAAGGGCGGACTAGTGAGGACTAGATTATAGTTCCATTGAGGGAGTGGGGAGGGGGACATAAGCAGAAAGAGCCTCAAGGACTCAAATCTAGCCATCATATCATGGGAAAACACTGGCTGACCCTGAATTGGCAGGTGAAAAACCAAGACTGCTGCCAAGTGCGCTCAGATGTGATAGATAGGAAGAGTGCTGGTCAGCATTTGGTTACTAAAGGGTTACACTCAAGTAGCTAGGGGGTGCTGGCAGGGAGCCAAGAAAGCCAAAGGGAAAAGTGTTGAAGACATACCTGCCTGCTGTTTTCTTTGTGTGAGTTTTAAACCAGAAGTTGGGGGAATATACTTAACTGAAACAGGCAGAGCTACCATGCCTACAAGGAATACCGGACATGGAAATGGACTGGACCTAGAAGCATGGATTGTAAGCAGATAGACATTTTCCTATTTAGTCACTATCAGGTTTATTTGTTTTGTTGTTTGGTTAAACTTCTGTGCTAAGTTCATATGCCCTCCCAGTTTTAAGCTGTATCCCAGACAATTTCTGCGTTTTAATCTGTTCTTTTCTCAGTTGCTCTAACATCTTGCAACCAAGTATGTTTTACCAAGTATTTCTTTTTGTATTGTTAATAAAATCACCTTTTTAAGGCAATGATTTGATCCTTGTGTCTTGGAAAGTAATAGAAGGTCAGTGTATGCATGCCTAACATTGAGGGCAGCCATCCGAGATTGCAGTTTGTTTTCTTAAGTCCCATATCTCTCATGGTAAAAGAGCGTGGGGCACCTCGTTGGAAGAAGTCCAAGTGCTTACTTCCTGGCTTCAAGAAGAAAGGGGTTTTCTTTTGTTTCACTTGGTGGTGGCAGCTACCTCCCAAGGCCAGGGGATCTGTGGCCTTGTGGGGCTTTGAGCAGAAGCCTATTGAGCAGGGTTTCCCAACCTATGGGTTGGGACCCAAATATGGGTTGCCATTACATTTCAAAAGGGTCTCCAGGAGTCTCCTCCCCAGGTGGCTCTTAAGGAGCCATTCACACATTTTTGGAATTGCCCTGGGTCATCAAGTCTTCCTGAATTGTCAAAATAGAAAAGGTTGGGAACCGCTGCTATAGAGGCAAGGTCTATAAAGTCACTTGCAGGCCCCTACCTCCTGCACTCAGAGTGCTAAAGTGGGGAACAGTTTTGACAGAGGCATGAAAGTGTCAAGCCTTTCCCCTTCAAGTGCAAAAGATAGTAAAAAATGGATTGGACATGTGCTTCTGTAGGGGTGAGACCTTGCTGCCCCGCCCACACCAAAAACCAGAGTCCATTTGGCTATGTACATCTGCCTGATCAATGGCTTACAGCT